CAGGGATCCCCTGCACTCGGGGCTGCTCGGGATTTTTGGGGTGTGTGAAGTACAACCAGAGCCTTGTCCCGATCAAAGCCAGAGTTATCTTGGAGCCTCTTCCTGAGCTTAATCCAGTCACCCCCGTCCCTGGGCCGGGCCCGGGTGCTGCTTTAGCGGGCGTTTATTCCCGCTGGTTCCCAGGCCAGCAGCCCCATCTGGGAATGGAGAGGGCGGTGGTTGGGTGGGTCCAAGGGGAGACCTTGAACTCCCCTGTGAGGGGCCTGTCCGGGGACATTCCCACCTGTCGCTGTGCCCGGTGTCTCCTGACACAGTGACAAGAGGCTGGTGCTGTCCTTGCTCGCTGTGGGGCCCGTTGGGACGCGGCCTCGATGGATGAGGCATTGTTCCTCCTGCTTTGGCCATAAAATGGGGCTAATCCCGTGTAAAGCAGCGGGATGGGCTGCGGAAGGAGGATGGGAGCGGTGTAAGCCCTGGGCAGGAGATAAGCAGGGAGTGATTCCAGCCTTCTGGCTGTCTGCAGTGGAGTATTTCTCCATGTTCTGTGTTGATCCTTCTGTACATCCAGCTGGGAGAAAGGCAGGTGTGCAAGGTGCACCTGGAGCTGAGGAGCAGCCAGACAGACATTGCTGTGCATCCTCCTTTGGAATTAGGAGCAGGGAGGTGTCCCCAAAGTGTCCTGTGTGGGCGAGTGCTCCGGTTTGGACACAGGGCAGTGACCAGTGGGGATTTCATGCTGGCATTGCTCCAGCTATGGAGCAGTGCCAGGTTTGAAAAAATTTGCACTTTCTGTGATGGATTTTGGGGTGTGAATTGTTAGCTGGCTGTGCAGGGACAGGGTGAGCAGAGGGAGGAGGGAGTTCCTTGTTCCATGGACGCCCCTCACTCACGGTGCCAGGCAGCCAGCTCTGGAAGGGCTCTGTGGAACTCTGGGCTGCAGCTGATCCAAACACAGTGGGAACAGGTGAAGCACATCCCGTCTGTCTCCCTGCAGCTGGGATCTGCCCTGTCTGGGAGTTGCCTCACATGGAAGGAATTGTTTGTGTGTTTGCCCTGCGCCATGGGAACTCTGCTGGATCGGGGCAGGTCCCTGGGAGCTGTGGATTTGGGAGGTTTGGGAGCCGGTGACCGGGAGGGAGCTCTGTCTGTCCTGCCTGTGCCATGGATCCCAGGGGTGGCAGGGGCCATGTGGTTGATGCCAAGGTGCATTTCCTCTTCCCGGGCAGGAGCAGAGTGAGGGAGGAGGGAATGTCGGGAGCTGGGGACACATGTGTCCCCATCCCAGTAGAGGTGGGAGCACCTCCTGCTCCAGAAGGGACAAGGCATGGAACGCCTGGCTGCGTGTGGGAAGGCTGGAGAGGGGCTGGAGCAGATGAGCACAGTGGGGAAGGAGGAGAACAGGGCTGGGAGGGGAGGAAAGGGAGGAAATCAGTGAGGCTTTACAGGCCTTGAACCAAGAAAAGGAGATGCAGGCTCAGAGAAATGGAAGGTGACAGCAGCTGTGCTTGCACATATCCCGAGGGAGGGAATTTGGAATGAGAAGAAATCCCCAGAAATGGAGGTGAAGGAAACAGGAGCAGCTCCCCTGTATGAGTGCAGAGAAACCCTGGAGAGTGGAGATGACTGCTCCAGAGGTGGCTGAGCAGAGCAGAACTGGGAAAGTGCTCCAAAAAGGAGGTGCTGGGATGGGAAAACCAGGTGGAATTTCTGAGGGAGAGGGAAGGGGGAGTGAGCAGTGACACAGGCACTGGGGGAGGAAGGAGCAGGGCAGGTCTGGAGGAGCAGCAGGAGAGGAGGAGTTGCTGGGCTGGAATTGGCAGAGGGAAAGGAATGGGAGGCAAGAGCAGAAAGGAATGGGAGGCAAGAGCAGAGCCCATGCAGGCCACAGGTAGGCGAGATGAGCTGGGGGCTCTTTGGAGCAGGGAAGTCTGTGAGTGGCCTTGGTGGATAGTGACAAAGTGGCCAGCGAGGCAGAGGATTTGGGGCAAAAGTGGAGGGAAAGGAAGGGTTGGTTGACCAGAGGTGGGCAGGTTGTAGGGCTGGGAAGGAATATGTGTGTTTGGGAGAATTGGGGCCTGAATTTGTGGAATCTGTGGGAATCTGTAGTGGGTTTTTCTTGTGTTTCTCCTGGACCCCTTAAGGACTGCAGAGCAGAGATCCCACATTTTGACAGCTTTTTCTCTGGGCCTCTGCAGCAGGGCTGGGGCTGGGGAGTGCTGTGGGGTCTCAGCACGGTGGGGGATCAGGAAGGCATTCTGAGGAGCAGCGAGGTGGCTCTGGGAGCTGGGATGGGCTCCTGTTTGATGAGTTGTGGTGTTATTCCAGGCACAGGCAGCTGGAGCAGGGATGCATTTGCATCGCCTCTCGCTGGGGTGTCACTAGTGACAGCGCTGGGGCTCTCCCCCTGCTCAGGGGTGCGGGATTCCATGGGGAGCTGGCTCCAGCACGCACAGCTCCGCAGGGATCCCCCTGTGGAAGGGCTCCTGGATCTCTGGCTGGGAGGGCTGGGGCAGGGCAGGGCCACGAGGCGCATGCCCAGGGCGCCCTGCGAGGGCAGGGTGGGGATCTCCGGAGCAGGAATTATCAGGGAACAGCTCCTTCTGCCTGGCAGCGCCTGTTTGAGGCCGAGGTGTGGCCGTGCCTCCATGGCGGAGCGTTCAAAGGGCCGGGTGCTCAGGGAGCAGATTGCTCCTGCTAAAGCAATCAGCCGTGATGTCAGGCCCGCGCTTCCGATAGCCCATCCCTGGAATTGCTGTTGGGCTCGGCTCTGTGGGGTGTTGGGCTCTTCCCCGAACAGGCAGAGCGGGGCTGGGAAACTGCTGCTCTCCAGGGAACTCTGTCCCTGCTATGGAAAACAGCTTTCCCTGGTGTTACTGTTCCATTTGCTCCGCTCAGGAGCTGCAGCCAGGTGAAACCTGCACATTCCCTGCCGGGCAGAGCCTCAGCCCCACATTTCCTCTCACTCCCAAGGGCAGGGACACCTCGGGGTGGGAAGTTGAGCTTTGGTCCTGCAGAGGCCGAGTGGCAGGAGCTGTTGCTGGGTGAGTCAGGCGGAGTGGCCGTGAGCTGGGGCTGAGCCCACTTGGTGGTAACACATCCTTGTCATTAAAGCCGCCTTTAATTGGGCGCCGCAGCTCTCCCAACCTTCACTCGCGTTTAGTCAGCGCTGGAGAGTTCCCTGCCCACCCCGAAGGACAAACTGGGGCGGCAGAGAAAGCTGGAAGGGAGAAAGGAGTGAGCTGTGGGCTGTGCTTGGACCTGCACATGGAGGCAGCAAGGGGAGGGCAGGTGACAGACGGTGACAAGGTGAGGAGTGGTGGCTGTGGCAGCAGGAACTGGTGGGATATGATGGGTGATAGGCTGGTGGCTGCTTGGGGCAGGGACACCTTCCACTATCCCAGGCTGCTCCAAACCCCATCCAGCCTGGCCTTGGACACTTCCAGGAATATGGCATCCACAGCTCCTCTAGCAAACCTGTGCCAGGGCCTCACTACCTTCACAGGGAAGAATTCCTTCCCAATATCCCATCCAACCCTGGGCTCTGTCGTTTCGAATCCACTCTTCCATGTCCTGGCGCTGCAGTTCCTGATGAATCCAGAGCTGCAAAGGCCACTTATGATCATGGGATTGGTGTTTTCCATGGGCCTCTCCTGTCTCCTGCCCTCCAGGGAAGGGGCTGAGATTCCTGGGTGTTTTTTTTCCTCCTGTGGTCTCCACCCTTATGTTAAATCCTGGAGTCTCTGCTCAGCCCCTGCCCCTCAGGGAGCCAGCACTCTCTGGTGCTGGGATTTGGGCCGGAGCTGCAGGAAGGAATTAATGGTGTCCCTCCAGTCCTTCCAGGACTCAGGGTGGGTTTCTCGGGGATAGAGGGAGTAGCTTGGAGTTCCTGCAGCAGCCAGTGCCCCCGGGCTGGGACGGGAGACGCCGTGGCCAGGCTGCTGTGGCTAATGACAGCCGGCTCCTTCCCTTCTCTGCCATGCTAATTTCTGTTGCTGTTTTTTCCAGGTGAGCTGTGGCACACCAGACCTCGAGTTTTAATGGTTTTATGTAGTATTTTTTAAAAGACTGATGGATGAATGAATGAAGAAGGATTTTAACGAAGGAAGGGGACGGGAAAAATGGAGCTGTTTGGAACAAACTGAGGTTTCTCCCTGCACTGCCCGGGCCATGGGTGAGACAGAGCTGCTCAGCACCCCTTCCACCCTTTGGTGTCTGCTGGGGTTGTAAAGGCGCTCCCTGAACACCCCCTTCCTGTTCACCTGCTGGGAAATGGTTGCTGCAGAGAAGATTTAATGAAATTCCTGTCGCTCCCCAACCGCCGAGTGCATCCTGAGCCCATGGAAGGGCCTGGGGGGTCAGGAGAAAGGAGCAAGTAGGAAAACCCACAATCCGCCAGACCTTCCCCTCCGCCCCCCTCGAAAAAAAGGATTTACAGCTCAACCTTGCACCAGCTGTTCCTCGGCTTTAACAGACAAGAGAGAAATAAATAAAATTAAACGGCCACCGTCAGCCAGCCAGCCCCAGATCCCGGTGAAATCAGGGAGAGTGTTTCCGTGACCCCTCCAGCGAGGGGAGGAGGAGGAGGCACGGCAGCTCCGTGAGGAAGCTGGGATTGCTTGGAGACCACCCCCTCCTCCCGTGCAGCACCGGGGGCTGCGCACAGCAGAGGCGGATTAAAAAGGAGAAGTGGCTGCCCAGAGGCTCCCGGAGTGGCTTTTTTGCAAGCACTTTGCTGATCCTGTGCTCTTCTCGGGGTGCTGGCTGGGTAGGAAGCAGCCTGCCGAAGCCCGGGGAATTCTCTCCCTGCTGAGCCTGCCTGTGGGCTGCTGCCTGGACTGAGGCTTGCAAGGGCGCTCAGCATTCCCACTCCAACGGTTGTCCTAAATCCAAATCCCTTTCTCTGTTGTGAATTTTTAATGTTTTTAACCCTCCTTCCCTGTGCCTGGGAGCTCTCACGGGGCAGAGCTTAGAGTGGGCTCCTTTCCTGGGCCTCCTGCTCCAGAGCCTTCTCCAGACTGCGCGCCCCGGTCGGAGCTCGCCCCAGGAGCAGGCGTGGGGGCAGGGTAGGGGTCAGCCCCTGTCCCCCTCCCCTTCTCATCCTGCTCTGAGTCCTCTGGGGCCTGGGCTATGCTGCGGGGCGGACCCCCCACCACAGCTCCAACATGCCAGCAGCCTCTGGAAAGAGATTCAAACCCAGCAAGTACGTGCCGGTCTCCGCTGCTGCCATCTTCCTAGTGGGAGCCACCACCCTCTTCTTCGCCTTCACGTGAGTCCCAGCGGCTGGGCCAGAGCGGGGAGGGCCGGCAAGGACAGGGGACAGGAGCTGGGATTTCCTCCCAGAGGGAAGGGGGGTATTGTGCTCTGGGTGCTGCAGCCACAGCGGGAGCCATTTCATTCACTCCATGAGTTTTCCCAGGGGAAGCTGCGTGCTGGCAGTCCTGGTGGTGAAGCACTACTCAGCTCCAGGCCAGCTGGGTTGGGAACTGGTTTGTGACCTGTGGGTGGAAAAGGCATGGATCACTTTCTCCTTTGGAGCCAGGCGAGGTGGATTGGTGGGCTGGGGTCGGACACGTGTTATTTTTAGTTTCGTAATCGATTTGTGAGCCACAAAGGAAAGTTCAGGGAGGAGAACTCTGACCCCAGTGCGGATCACTCGCTGTGTTCTGTCCCCTGCCCTGGGGCAATGAGGGTTCCATGTCTCTGGAGAGGGTCCCAGGGAAGTGGCCAGCAGGTCACTGGGGCCTGGGGGGGCCACTGGGCTGGGAGATGGTGCTGAGTGCTGGAGAGGCGTGGTGACATCCCTGGGCTGCTGCTGTTCCCTGCCTGGTGACACGTGCCCTAGTGACGTGCTCAGAGGGGTGACACGCAGGGCAGCAGAACCTCGAGGTGCTGAGGGAGCCTGGCAGAGGGTGGCTCAGCTGAGCTGGTACCATGGCACAGTGTGCCAGGCAGGAAAGCCAGAGCATGGCAGCTGGAATGGCTACCAGGTCCTGCAGGGCATCCCTGGGGTCTCAGCAGGGATGTGTTTGGGGTCCTGGCTGGGTGCAGGAAGGAGCTGCACCCTCAGCTTCAGGGAGCCTCTCCCACTGCCTGGGCTTTTCCTGCTGGGGCCACAGGAATCAGCTGGAGCTGTGGGAGGCCAAAGGGACAGGTGCCATGGCTGCTGCCACTCCCTGGGAAGGCTCCATTGGTGGCAGGAAGGTCACTGTGGCTTTGGTGACAGGGGAACATGACAACTGGGCAGGGAGGGGGGAACTTGACAACCAAAGAGGGGAGCGGGGTTGGTTTGCCCCGTCCAGCGCCCGGTGCAGCTGGCAGTGTCACTCAGCAGCGTGTGGCTGTCCCCTGCTGGGACACCGGGCGGTCACCAGGCTCCCAGGCTCGGGGTTTGCCTGCTCCAGGCTGCCTGGTGCCTTTGGAAGTCGCTGACTCGTGCTGCTGTGCCAGGGGATGAAGGAGAGGCAGAGGGAGCGGGCGGTGCCCTCCGAGCTGCGTGTGCCACCCCGTGTGTGACCTTAGGGGACAGGCTGGCAATGGTTTGGCACGGTGGCTGCCGGACAGCTGGACCCCGGGCCCATCCCAGCCTCGGGTGCCAGCAGCACCGGGAGCAGCCGCTTATCAGCGGGCGGTGAGAGGCAGCGCCGGCGCCGTGGAGGAGCAGGTTTGGCCGGGGCAGGAGCTCCTGGGCAGGTCGCTGTAATTGTAGGTCAGCAGTGTTGTTTATCCGACTGCAGAACATCCCATTAAAGCCCGGGCACGGCTTTCACACGCTCCCTGCGGGATGGATCCTTTGGGACAGGGTCTGCCTGGTGCTGGAGCAGGTTGGCAAGGACGTGGGGCTCCAGGTTTGCCTCCTGCGTGGTCCTGGGGGCCACTGTGCCCCTTCCCCCTGTCAGCATCCGACCTAAGGCTGGTCCTTTGGGAAGTGCAATGGAAGCTGTAGGGACAGGCTCTGGGAGACATCCCCAAAACAGGGAGCAGCCAGGGGTCGGCACGGCTCTCAAGGCTCCAGTTGTGTTGCTTCCAGCCTATCCACTGGATGCCTTTTGGTCCATCCAGGATTTGTGTCTCTGGGCCAAGAACTCTCTTTAATTGATTAATTTAATTAGGAGCTGCTGCTGCTGCTGAGCACGTGGCAGTGGAAATGAGGCCGGTTGCCCTGGAGGGAGGGGTGGCAGGAGAGGGGATGTTCCCACCTCCCCCTGGGATGAGTGGGGGTCCCAGGCTTGCTGGGCTCTTAGACAGGTGCTGATTTAGGATGGAAATTCCCTCTTGGGGTCCATTTGTCCATTCCTGCACCTCCTCACTGGCTGGTCCCTGCTCCTGGTGTAGTTGGCTCTCAGGTTCCCTGTCCCCTCCCTGGGGCTGGCAGTGCCACTGGGACACAGTGCCATGCCCGCTCCCAGTCAGATCCAAACCTGTGTGAGGGCGAGCAGGGATTGTGTTTGTGCGAAGGCCTTTGGAGAGCCCATGGGTCAGAGCCCAGGGAAGCCAGGGAGCCCAGGAGGGAGGGAAGGCTGTGCCTGGGAGAGTGCAGGGGCTGAGGGGCTGGGGAAGGGATGCCAGCAGGGAGGGAGGGACAGGCTTCTCCGGGCGTGACTGGTAGCAAGAAGCCCGAGTCTCATCCCGCTGTGACTCATGGTGCCCGAGGTTCCCCGAGTCCTCTCATGTGCTGCCAGGGACAAGTCCCAACAGCTCCTCTGGCCACGAGTGTGTTGCATGCCGATGCTGAGGGGCAGCCCGATGGGTGCTGTGGGACCTGCGTGGCTGGTGATGGGGAGGAGCCTCCCTGCTGCTCCTGCTGCTCCTGCCCCGCGTGCCCCGGGCTCGAGGCAGGGCCTGCACTCTCTGTTCAGGAGAGCAAAAGGCAGGAACACATCACTCCCCTGATAAGGAGGTTCCCTTGGGATGGGCAGCACCTTTGCTCTCTGCGGAGAACCCCTGATCCCTTCAGTGGCTGGGGGTGATCCCAGGAGGTGACTCCCTGGTTGTGGGGTCACCAGCATGGTGCCACTGGCTCTGTGGGGATTCCCATGGCACAGGGAGTCAGGAAGGCAGCAGGTCCTGGTGTTCCCTGTGGAGGATGTTCTGCTTGCCCTGGCCCATGAATCCCACCCAGGGGGTCTCATCAGTGTGTCTGAGCCCACTGTCCTGGCCCAGGAGCTGTGTGTCCCTCCAGGAAGGGCTGGCTGCTGGGACAGCACAGAGGTGTTCCCTTCCCCTGGTCCCTCCCTCTCTGTGTGCCCCGGAGCTTTCTGAGGCAGCTGGATCCTTCCCAGCCTCCCTAGGCTCTGTCTCTCAGGATCCAGGCCGTGTGCTTGGCTCAGCCTGCCTGTTGGCTGTTCCCTGTGTGGGATGACTGCCCGGGCATGGGTCTTCCTGGCTCCCCTCCATCTCTTTCAAGCAAAGGTTTGGGCTGGGATTTCCCTTCCTGGAAAGAGGAGCTCCTTCTACAAGGTTTCTGGAAGGGCATTTTCTACTTTGAGGGCTCCTCTGAGCTCCCTGGCCCTCTCTCAGCAGAGAGCAGAGCCAGGGAGGCTTCTCTCAAGTGGAGTAGGAGTTCAGCTCAGGGACATGGGATCCTTGGTTCTGGTGTGTCCTCACACTCGACAACCCCCTGACAGGAGGGTGTGGCCAGGTGAGGTTGGGCTCTTCTCCCAAGGAGCAAGAGGAAGCGGCCTCAGGTGCTGCCAGGAGAGGTTTAGTTTGAATGTTAGGGAAAATTTCCTCATGGAAAGGGTTGTTTGGTGACTCTAGCACTGCCCAGGGCAGTAGTGGTGGAGTCACCACAAAACATGTGGCTGTGGCACTTGGGGACACGGTTCAGTGGTGGCCCCGACGGTGCTGGGGAAGCAGTTGGAATCGGTGATCTTTGAGGATTTTTCCAACCTGAACAATTCTGTGATCCATGACCCTGTGATTTGTCCCTTGCTTGGGTTGTGGCCTGGCACTGTCACTTAGGTGCTGTGCCTCCAGCACTGCTCTCGGAGGGTTTGGGGCACAGATTGCAGAGGACTCCTCCTCTGCAGCCCGTCCCAGCTGGGAGAATCCTCCTGGCTGGCTTCCAGTGCAGGCGGCAGGGCCGGCATGGCCGGTGCTGCTCAGGAGCCGCTCCCCAGCCCGGGGCACAGCTTGGGGGGCTGGGCCAGGAGATGCCATTCGGGAAATGCCATCCCGGGAGATGCCAGCCTGATACGGAGCAGGGAGGCAGCACCCAGGGTGCCCAGCAGGGTGGCTCCTCAGGAATGAGGGGGAAGAGGCTTTGGGGAAGGTGGTGTGTGGGGCCTGGGGGGCCAGAGAGGAGGAGGAAGAAGATAAGTGTGCTGGGTGGCTTGGCCATGCTGTCCTCCTTGCCAGGAATGTCTTCCATCCAAAAGTCTGCCCTCCTGCTGTCTCACCCCTGTGCCTGGATGGGGACAGCCTCAGCCTTGGCCTGTGAGAGCAGGTCCCACTGATGCTTCCCAGCCTCCCTGGGGCACGGAGCAGTGCCCGGTGCTGGGAGCGCCCTGCCTGCCTCACCCTCTGTGCTGCCAGGTGTGTGCTGGAAGGGCGTGCCTGCTTCTCCTGCCCTGCCCCTGGCACAGCTGCTGCTCCTCACCCGGGGGTGCCCCCTGCACCTGGGACAGAGCCCTGCACCAGCTGGAGCCTTGGCATGGCTCTGGGAGCTGCTGTGACAAGGATGGGCTGCCTCCCCCAGCGATGGGACCCGTCTCTGTGGGTGGTGGTGGAGGAGGGGACGGGGCCAGCGCCTGCCCCTTCACCCCAGCCTGGGGGGATTACAGCCCTGGCACCATATGTCGCCCTGCCCGCCCAGCCCCACACTGCTCCGGCCACCTAAATCCATCGGCACTTAGCCCAGTGGGGGGAAGAGAGGGACAGATGCTGCCCTAGATCTGTGGGATTTAATCCCAGCAGCAAAGCAGATTAGGGAATTACGCTGGCGCCTGCAAGGGGGAAGCCCGCTGTCCTGAGCCCTCCTGCTGGGACAGGAGGGAGCAGGGTGATTCCCTCACAGCGCTCCCACGGCCTTTTTGGAGGAGCTGGATGCTGGCTGGGGTCCCCCTGTCCTGCAGGAGCTGTCCCTAGGATGTGAGGAGCATGAGTGGCTCTGCAGGAACCGGAGCTGGTGCTGGTTTCATGTCCCCTCCCTCACAGGGTCCCCTGTGCCCCTGAGCAGCTGGTGGGGCACAGGGAGGATGACATCCTGCTTTCTGGCAGGTCCCTTGGGTGCCCCCCATGCCATTGGCCTGGTTTTTCCTATTGCCAGCACCACTGCTCTGTGGGACCCTCCAGTGGGGTCCCAAAGGGGAATTTTGCTCCCTGAAGGATGCCTGGAGCACGTCCCACTGTGGCCCGCAGGTGCTCCCCAGGCTGTGCTGTACAAGTGGCTGCAGTGTGGGTGTGGGATGCACTGCTGGGAGGCGGCAGGAGTGACACAAGTGAGGGTCTGAGGGTCTCATGGCTGCTGTGCCTGCAGGTGCCCAGGGCTCAGTATCTACGTGTCCCCCATCATCCCCGCCTACAATGCCGTCGTCTTCCTCTTCGTGCTGGCCAACTTCAGCATGGCCACCTTCATGGACCCAGGCATATTCCCACGAGGTGAGTCTGGCTCTGGCCGGGAGGAGCTGCCTCCTTGCACCCTTCCTCTGAGGTAAAGGGGATTTCTGGGTCCCAAAAGGCTGGTGAGGAGCCTTCCTCGCCCTGCCCGGTGGGATCAGGCAGTGACAAGCGCTACAGGGATGGGTTCAGCATCCCATGTTGGGTCCTTGGGACGCAGGCGGTGTCAGGATTCTGGGACAGGGCCTGGCAGAGCTCCTCCCAGCCTGTTTGGGGGTCCTTGGCTGTCCCTGTGCCAGGTGACAGCAAGGTGATGCTGGGAGCCTTTGGCTCGGGCAGAAGGGGCTGCCTGGTCCCTGACACCATGCCGGGGTGTCCCCATCAGCTGAGGAGGACGAGGACAAAGAGGACGATTTCCGGGCGCCGCTGTACAAGACGGTGGAGATCAAGGGCATCCAGGTGCGCATGAAGTGGTGCGCGACCTGCCGCTTCT